CCCACTGAGGTGAAGACTCAGCCAAATGCAGGATCCAAATGTGCCAAGAGCTCCAGACCTTTTTCAAAGTGTTTCCTCATATACTGGAAGCATACCGTATCACTAAGGCAGCTACTTAGCTGCTCACAGTAGATTCTACCATGGGGTTGACTACCAGTCTCATCATGGGGAATAATTATATTCGGCTGCCCAGCCACTCAAAACCAGGCCCAGCCAAGTTGAAATACAACCTTAACTACCATTCCATAATTTGTTATGATTCAGACAGTCAAATGACTTTGCACAGTCAATAAAACACAAGTAACATCTTCTGGTAGTCTTTGCTTTCAGCCAAGATACATCTGACATCAGTAAGGATATCCTTCATTTCACATCCTCTTCTGAATCTGCTTCGATTTCTGGCCAACTCCCTGTCAGTGTACTGCTGCAACCATTTCTGAATTATCTTCAGCAAAATTTTCTTGTGTGTGATATTAATGATATTTTTCGATAATTTCCATATTCTGTTGGATCACTTTTCTATGGAATAGGCACAAATACGTATCTCTTCCAGTCAGCTGCCTAGTTATCTGTCTTCCAAACTTTTTGGCATGAACAAATGGGTGCCTCCAACACTGCATACATTTGTTAAAACATTTCAGTGGGTAGTCTATCAACTCCTGGAACCTTGTTTTTCACCAATTCCTTCAGTGTTGCTTGGACTTCTTCCTTCAATATCATCGGTTCTTGATCACATGCTGCCTCCTGAAATGGCTGAATGTTGACCATTCTTTTTGGTACACTGACTGTGTATTCCTTCTATTTTCTTTAGATGCTTCCTGCAATATTTTGCCCATAGAATCATTCAATATTGCAACTTGAGGCTAAAATATTTTCTTCAGTTCTTTCAGCTTGAGAAGTGTCAAGCATGTTCTTCCCTTTTGATTTTCTAATGCCAGGTCTTTGCACATTACACTATTATACTTTACTTTGTCTTCTTGAGCTACCCTTTGAAATCTTCTGTTCAGCTCTTTTACTTCATCATCTCTTCCATTTGCTTTAGCTACTCTCCATTCAAGGGCAAGTTTCTTTCACAGTCTCTTCTGACATCCATTTTGGTCTTCCTTTCCTGTCTTTGTAATAACTCTTTTTTATTTTTAAGAAACTGATGTTTATTTTCCATCAACCTTATTTCCATTTTCTAAGAGACTATGGAAGACAGCTTAAGATCACTCAGTGGCTGTTCCTATCCACTCAGCAGCCTCAGCAGTGGGGGCTGCAGACCAGTCTTCAGTTGCAGGCTGAACACTCCAATCTTCAGTAGGGAACTGCTGAACAGGTACAGAGGACATCTGCATGCCTTCAGACCAGTCTGAAACCTCAGGTAGAGCAGCAGTAAGTTCAGGAGCAGGAGTAGTCCATTCACCCTGAAATTTGTCCTTGGTCACAGCCTTTTCAACACCAGCCTGATCTTCCTTTTCAATCTCTTCCAGATCTCTTTAGAAGTAGAGGTCTGGCATGACATCCCACAGGTGCTCCCAGGAGATGGTGCCATGCATGTACAGGACTTCCTGAGCTAGCATCCACCACATCAGACCCACCTAGCGAGCTCCCTTGTTCTTGCATGGGATGGCAATGTCCACACTGTACAGAGGAGAATCTGTGTTACACAGAGCAATGCTGGGCAAGTTCATGTAAGATGCCACTGTGAAAGGCTGGTGGTCAGCCCTGGGATCAGTAATGACCTAAAGATGCCCCTCCCAGAAGGCTGCCTAGATCTGGTTAGTAAAAGTTCTGGGAGTGAAGTGCCTAGCAATAGGAGTACAAGCAAACTTCAGCACAGCCCACTCATCAGTATTCCTGGAGGATATGACATTGACATCAACTGCATTTTCAATGACAACAATGGCCTGAGCTGCCAAAAGAAGTTTCTCCCAGGTCTTCTTCAGGTTGATGATGTAGATGCCATCACTTTTCCATTTATAGATGTACTGTTCAATTTGGAAGTCAAGGGTGGTGCCAGCTAAGTAGGCTCCTGCTGCAAGGAATTTGAGGACATCCTCCTCCTTCATCTGCAGGACATCAAGGGCTCCGGACATTGTTAAAGTTCCCCTTTAAGTTATGACAGGAACCCGGGCAACACCAAATGGACCCTACTCTGCATAGCACAGAAACTGTAATAACTTTTTCAACTTCCCGTATGATATACTTAATGTCATCCTACAATTCATATGGTCTTTGGTCAGTGGTGTTCAATGCATCAAATCTATTCTTCAGATGGTCTCTAAAGTCAGGTGGTTAAATAAGAATTTTAATGAGAATCAAAAAGTTTCTGGACAATGATCATACTGCAAAAGAAAACATGACTCAATATCTAACCTCCTACTTTTTAATGTTTTGTAAGTATTCACTTTTTTCAAATATATGTAATATATATATGCACACACACACATATTTGTAGCAATCACTGAACACACTGATACTTAGAACCTACAGTATCACAAAAGAAAAGTTCATCAGACACATAAAGATCCTAAGAGTATCTGCTTCCAACCAAGATGGAATAACAGGGACCAGATTTATCCTCTCATTTGAAACAACCAAAAAATAATCAAAGCATTTAAAATGATAGTTTTCAAGACACTGGGCATTAGCCACTGAAGAACAGTGATACCCTAGAGAAAGGAAATAATTAATGTGAGTCCTATGATTGCCAAAGTTCATAGTCTTATAAGAATTTCCAGGCCAACTTGAGAATTCAACTGAGTATTGATCAATCTCCATGTGTCAGGAAATGATTTGAAGCTAGGAAAAGAAACACCAGAAAAGATTAGAGCTTATGGTGCCTGCCTCTCATATAGTACTAGGAATGGTCAATATTCCCACAAGTCAGAATGGAAAATCTCACACTCTGTAGGGCACTGAGGTAGTATACGCAGAAGAATCTTGCATCTGTAGTGGAGAATAATTATCTCTAAAATAAGCACAATTCAGGTTTGGCCTAACAAATGTTAAAAGCAAGAACTAAAAGGATCAAACTAATTCCAATTATCTTACCCATGTCCCAAAACAGAGAATATTTATAGAAATACAAAAATACCCAGTATCCAACAAGGCAAATTTCACAATGCTTGGCATCCAATCAAAAATTATCAAGCATGCAATAAAGCAGGAAAATATGACTCAGAATGAGAAAAATCAATCAAAAATCAAAACTGACCCATAACTGACACAGATGTTAGAATTAGCAAACAGGAACATAAAAATAGTTACCAAAAGTAAAGACATGGAAGATATAAAAGATCCAAATTGAACTTCTAGAGATGAAAATTACAATGAGTAAGATGGAAAATACACTGGATGGAATCAATGGTGCATTCTACAATGCAAAAGAAATAATTAGTAAATTGAAGACCCAACAATAAGCTATCTAAAATGAAACATTGCAATAATAATAAAAGAATTAACAAGCAGCTACGGAATAATTTCAAGAAGCCTAATATACATGTAATTAGAGTGTTCCCAAAGCAACTGGGGAGAAGTTGTGGCAGACAAGAAAAACTGAAGAAATAATACCAAAATTTTCAAAATTTTATGACAACTCTAAAAACAAAGAACAAGAAGCTGAACAAAACTCAAGCACAAGAAACATGAAGAAAAGTACACCAAGTCACATCATAATCAAATTGTTCAAAATCAGTGATAAAGAGAAAATCTTAAAAAGCAACGAGAAAAAAAAAGGCAAGTAATATACAGAACAGCAAAGATAAAACTTACAGCAGATTTCTCATAAGAAAAAATTTAAGGAGGAAAGAAAATGGAGTATCTTTAAAGTACTGAAAGAAAAATACTATCAACCTAGAAGTCAATATCCAGTGAAGATATCTGCGACCATGAAGGTAAAATGAAGTATGGATCAAATACACCACTAGAAATGGTAACTGCATGGGCCAATATATGACTGTTCACCTAAATTTCTTTGAAGGATAATTGACTGTCTAAACAAAAATAATAACAAATAATAACAAAGTAGTGTGGGTTTAGAACATTTATGAAAGTAGTAAAAAGGAGCCCTGGTGGCACAGTGGTTAAATGTTTGGCTGCTAGCCAAAAGATCGGTGGTTTGAATCCACCAGTTACTCCACTGGACAAAAATGTGGCAGTCTGCTTCCGTAATGATTTACAGGCTTGGAAACCATATGGAGCAGTTCTTGTCATTTAGGGTCACTAGAAATTGGAATCAATTCAACAGTAATGGGTTTTGGTTTTGGTAAAATTAAAATGTATGGTAATAATTGCACAAAGATCAGGAGGACAGTTACGGAAGTAGACTTTTGCTGGGTTATCATATTTTATGTGAAGTGGTATAAAATTATTTCAAGGTACACTGTGATAAACTAAAGATATATACTATACATCCTAACCAAATGACCAAACCCACTACCATTGAGTTGATTCTAACTCAAAGTGACCCCCATTAGGTGCCCAAGGCTATATATCCTTCAAGAGGTAGATTGCTTCATCTTCCCCCTGTGGAGCAGTTGGTAGGTTTAGAACCATTAACCTTCTGGTTAACAGCCAAAGGCCTCACCCAGTATGCCATCAGAGCTCCTTATAAATCCTAAAGCAACCACTAAAATAAGAAAACCATTAAAGCAACCACTAAAATAAGCCTGTAAATCATTATGGAAGCAGACTGCCACATTTTTTTCCAGTGGAATGACTGGTGGATTCAAACCACCGACCTTTTGACTAGCAGCCGAGCATTTAACCACTGTGCCACCAGGGCTCCTTTTTACTTTTACAGATGTTCTATAGTTCTAATAAGCCAAAAGATGAGATAAAATGGAATCATAAGATAACAAGGGTCAGTGTAGTTTGATCCAAGGTTTTATCCCTTAGAGAAACTTCTTAATAAAATATAGTATGTATTTTTTTAACACCCAGTAAAATGTTAAGTTTATTAAATCCTACTCAGAAGCATAATTAAGTCAATGAAAATAAATGGAAAAACTACTTACTGCCCAGACTGGGGATGTAAAGCCCAGAATTGCAGCCTTAGCTCCATCAGTCACATAAGGAATAATATTTTCTCCCAGACGTGTATCTCTGAACAAGGCTCTAAGGATATTTAAAGCATGAACCTAGAACAAAAAGTTCAAGATTAGTTGTAGGTTGAAAACCATGGTGATTCTAAATCCAACTGCATAATCTCAAAATAAACAAAAATATATAGAATTACAAGAAGAAATGTATAAAGCACAAATGAGACAACAGATTTTAATGAAACTCACCCAATGAGTGATGAACCAATTTTAAAAAGTTAGTAAGATTTGAATAATGCAATAATAAAGCTTTATATGATGGGCATACATAATACAGGGGTAGTGGTGGCAATGGTTCAGTGATAGAATTCTTGCCTTCTATGGGGGAGACACAGGTTCGATCCCCATCAAAGTACCTCATATATGGCCACTAGCCATCTGTCAATAGAGGCTTTGCTTATTGCTATCATGCTAAACAAATTTCAGCAGAGCTTCCAGATTAAGACAAACTAGGAAGACGGGATTTGTGATTTACTACTGAAAATCAGCCAGTGAAAATCGCGAATCACAACAGCGCAATCCACAACTGAGAACTGGTGCAGGATCAGGCAATATTTCATTCTGCTCTGCATGGAGCTGTCTTGAACTGGGAGTTGACTTAATGGTAGCTAACAACAAATAGGAAAAACACATTCTTTTGAAGAACACATGGAACACTTATTTTTTTAAAATGACTCAAACCTTTTGTTGTTGTTGTTGTTATGTGCCTTTGAGTCAGACCCGACTCATAGCGACCCCTCCTTGGGTTTCCGAAGCAGTATCACTACGGAAGTAGATTGCCCCATCTTCCTTCTGAGGAGTGGCTAGTGGGTTTGAACCACCAGCCTTCTGGTTAGCAGTCAAGTGCCTCAGCCACTATGCTATCAGAGCTCCCTAGCCACAAATAAAGTCTCAAAAAATAATTAATGTCTTATAGATTATGCTGTGATGATATTGAACTTAAGCTCAAATTAATTTTTTTAAATAATTTAAAAACTGATACATTTTGAAACACTGGTTAAAGGAAAAACCTTTTTAATGCTTAGAACTGAACAATAATGAAAATGCAGCACATTAACACTTATGGGATGCATCTAAAGTGATATTTAAAAAAAAGCAATGTAAATGCTCCTATTTTTAAAAAAGACTGAAAATGAATGTATTTACTGTCCAATCAAGATGATAGACACATCCTACTATGAAGCATTTACTGAGGAAGCCTAAACTATAAGGTATTATAAGTATTTGACAGGAATTTACTACCTAATATAGAGTCACTGTAAGTCAAAATCAACTGGACAGCAATAGATTTTGGTTTTTCGTACAATGAAGCTAGGAAGAGCACTTAACCCAAGGTCGTACACATTGGTAATGACTGAAAGAGACTATATACTAGCTCAAATTAAAATGTGAATGTATCAGAAAGTTAGATACCACATTTTAGGGAAGACTCTTAACGAGATGGACTGACACAGTGGCTGCAACGATGGGCCCAGATATAGCAAGGATTGTGAGAATGGCACATGATAGGGCAGTGTTTCGTTTTGTTGTATATAAAGTGGCTAGGAGTTGGAGCCTACTGGACAGCACCTAACAACAACAACACATGTTAGGGAAAGATATAACTGCTGAGTTACAAAATGCTATCAAATTCTAAAGTGACAGCATATTCATTTTGTATATTTTTAGATAGAATAGTGATATTATAGCAAATATCATCTGTTACATATTTTTATCAGTATAAAAATAGCTCCCTTTGGTTAATATTTACCAACAAAAGGACAGGAAAGTCAACAAAAAACCATCCAAAATGCTTCAAATGTCTGTCCTGTTTTCAAGAGATCTATGAAAATGAGTTCTATAGTTTTAGCAGATACTTTTTTTTTTTTTTTAAATTTAGAGTACAGCAAAGATTTAAAACCTTTGCTTTCTTAGCAGGGCTTGTGTGAGTATTTCCGTAATACCTGGGGGACTGTGCTCCGTGAGTCATCCATAGGACCAGCCAAAGAGATTAGCTCTTTCATTGTTACTTTCAATAAATCCATTTTGCCTTTCTTTGGTTCAGATGCCAACAATGCCTATGGAAAAACACAGAAAAAAATTAACAGAGCTCTTCTTTAACACACACCTACTTTCTGCTTCCCAGAATCAATTTGAAAATGCAAAATCCCCTTTATAAAAATAAGCAAGTTAATTAAATCATGTGGCCTAAGACAATTCATTTTAACTTCTCTCCATTTCTCAGATTCTTCATCTGTAAAATTAGACAGTAAAATCCTATGATCTCTAAGGTCAGTTCCAGTTTGTTTATTAATTATATAATTCTAAAGTTGAAAATGGTTCTTGTTGACAATATCTTAAGAACCATAACTGGGTGGCAGGTCTCAGATATTGAATATACAAGTCAATTTTAGTGACAAATTTTGAGACCAAGGACATTCTCCTTTTTTTTCAAAAGAAAAAAAAACTTTGGATTCAACAATGTCTTATAAAGATTTTAAAACTCACTAGAAATTGACCAGTATTTAATTCTTCTTCACTGAGAGGCTATTAACTGCAGGATCAACCAAATTGTAACATCTGAAATTCCCTGGGACAAAATGAAATATTATAAACTCCAAAGGGGTCTTATACTTGAATTTTCAAGGAGCAGCTTATTTACTGGGTATAACACTTTGCTACTATGCAACAAACATAAAAATAGGATACCAAAACCACTTTACACATAAAAACGAATGGTATACTGATATGTGCTATGATGAGATGAACTTTGAAAACGTCATACGTGAAAGAAGCTAGTCACAAAAGATCACGTGTTATATGATTCCTTACACGAAATGTCTAGAATAGGAAAACCTCTGGAGACAGAAAGCAACCAGCTTAGGGCCAACAACAGCACGGGTAGAGAAGAATGGGGATTGACTATCAGTGGGGACAGATTTTATAATGGATGATGTTCTAAAATTAGATTGTGATGATGGTTGCACAGATCTTTGAATACACACACACATACACAAAAAACCACTGAACTGTATACTCTATAAACTGTATATGTGAATTATGTCTCAATAAAACTATATAAAAAATCACTTTAGTCATATTCTCAACTCCCTTCCTATATATATCTACTTTTCATACATATCTCTCTCGATTCTGGTGAAGCACGTATAATACACAAGGGAAGAAAATAAAGACACACATACAAAATGCCTACATTTAAAAGAAATTTCTCAGAGTATACTTATACTCCAATACACACATACACACACACACACACATATAAAAACCTCACTGCCGTCGAGTCAGATTCAACTCATAGCGACCCCTACTTGGGTTTCCGAGACAGTATCACTATGGAAGGAGCCCAACCTTCCTTCTGAGGAGTGGCTAGTGGGTTTGAACTGCCAGTCTTCTGGTCAGCAGTCAAATGCCTTAGACACTATGCCACCAGAGCTCCATATATACATGCATACATACATATGTATGTTGTTGTTGTTGTTATATGCTGTCGAGTCAGACCCGACTCATAGCAACCCCTCCTTGGGTTTCCGAAGCAGTATCACTACGGAAGTAGATTGCCCCATCTACCTTCTGAAGAGTGGCTGGTGGGTTTGAACCTCCAGCCTTCTGGTTAGCAGTCAAGTGCTTTAGCCACTATGCTACCAGAGCTCCCATACATATATATGTATATGTGTATATGTATATATATATGTATATATATATATATAATTTAAAAGAATATTTTAAAAATTTTTGTATCTTTCTGTTTAAAATGTAAACTCACAAAGTAAACAGTTTTACTCTGTATTTAATGTTAAGCAGAGACTTACACCACAACAAAGAAAGTAACTTTATTGATAACTCAGGTTAAGAGAAACAGGGATGAGCTGATATTTCTAATAATTTAAATTTTACTCAACTAAAATAAATAAGAAAATAACATACTGTTATTGAAATGTCTTCTGGGAGCCATCTCTTTCTTTTCCTCAAAGGGCCAGACATAGTTATTACCCTCTCACCAAGGACAGTGTGAGAAAATGTGTCTCCTGATATGTTTGATCACCAAGCACACAGCTCAAAACATGCAACCAGATCTTGCTGCTGCCTTTCCATCTGTCCTCAGACAAATGAGGCATAAACACACTAGGTCAGAATGGATTTCAAGCAAAGAAGGAACCACACTCATTCAAGAGGGATCAGAACAGATGGGAGCTGATTACTGAAGATCACCAAGATATGTCCAGCAGCACTACCCCGAGAGTCTCTGATTCAAGCCAACAACTACTGCAATTGATAACCACTATAATATTAAACAGCCACTCCTCGGAAGGAAGACGGGGCAATCTACTTCCATAGTGATACTGCCTCAGAAACCCAAGGAGGGGTCGCTATGAGTCGGGTCCGACATGACAGCACGTAACAACAACAACAACATAATATTAAAAACAAATAATAATAATAATAAAACATGAAGGGACATTAAGAATTTGCAAAATAATATAGGGACACTAGAAAAGAGACTTCATTTATTTTCATTGCTTAATTACACTTAACCCTGGATTTTAGTTTACCTTTCAGGCTACGGTTTGATTTAGTAATGTGAGACTTTGGCTTTTATTCTTTGGGTTCATAAAGGTGAGTATCTCTTCATTCTACACTGCAGACATATTTTTCTATCAATAGTAACATCTGCTATGTGTGCTAATATGAAGTAATCTTTAAGGTATGTTACTTTAAAAAGCAAGGGTCACATTTAACACAATTTTTTTTTAAAAAAAAAGGTTCAAATAGTGTATAGAGTGCTTTCATTTGTGTGAAAAAAAAAAAAAAAAGAAAGATGCACATGCATACACACACATGCTCATATACAAAGAGGTTCAAGAGTTAGGATTCCTGGCTCCAGGCTTAGCTCTGCACTTATGACTTCCATGGTCATTGGTAAATCACTTAACTTTTCTAAGCCCCAGTTTCTTCTGGACAACAGAATCTATCTCGTAAAGTTTGTTGTTTTTGTTGTTGTTATATGCCGTCGAGTCAGCCCCGACTCATAGCGACCCCTCCTTGGGTTTCCGAGGCAGTATCACTACAGAAGTAGGATTGCCCAATCTTCCTTCCGAGGAGTGGCTGGGGGGGGCTGGTGGGTTTGAACCGCCAGCCTTCTGGTTAGCAGTCAAGTGCCTTAGGCACTATGCTACCAGAGCTCCTAAAGTTTGAGGAAGGAATTAATGAGATTTTATGTGAAATAACCACTAAGAACTGTTAGCTACTACTGCAATGGTAATTATTTTATGGATCAACATTACATGGAAGAATTTCAAGGAAACTGTTAATATCGGTTCCCTGGAGAAAGAGAAATTTGGGGTATTGAAATGAGAAGAATATTTATTTTTTTTCTAATTTAAAAAAAATGGGGGGGGGTCAACATGTGCACTTCCTGAAAGTTAGCAATGGGAGAATACAAAACAATCTCACCTGAGAATGTCTCACAGTAATGTTTACCTACTTAAAAAACAAGCAGAAATCTATACCAGCCTCTGCTCATATTAGAAGACTGATTTCTTGGAGGATTTGTTCCAAGAACAAATCTTGTTACAGGAACACACTGTCCATAGATTAAAACAAAGTCACAAATGTAATGGAACTAAAAAAACAAAAATGTCCCTTATGTAATATGCTCATTCATATGTCAAGGATTTAAGAATACACTTATCAAAGACACGAAGAAATAAACAGCTTTATTTTTATAGATAAGTACCTGTATGTAGAAAGGAATTCCAGCACTGCGCCTTGTAGCACAGAGTTTAGATGAAGGATCACTGTATTTAACTTCCTCTAAAACATTCCATAACCACTGTTCCGGTAGCTTTTGCAGACTCAAGTTAGGGCACCTAAGAGGTATATATAAGCAAACGTTTGGAATTATCAGGTACCCAAAAGTAAAAGCATAAAATGTGGCTATACATTAACACTATCAGAAAAGAGTAAATACATTTACACTTGGAGAGAGCAAACCACGAAAATGTCTTAACTTCTACTTTTCACCTACTTTCCTCTTTATGACGGGTCTTAGGATGTAAAGCTATTGAAGATGCCATTATTACAACCACTGTTTGTAAGTGGTGTTCTGCAAAATAATCTTCGAGACCCATCCACACAAAATGTTCTGAAGGAAGGAAATCAAGAACTCACTGATGATTTATACTGTAAGACTTAGGATACAAATTTTAGTTTATTGTAATTTATGTTCTACATTTGTAGAGATTATATACATTCAAAGAAAAAGCATTTTAAACTCTATTTCAGTGATCATTTTTAATCTCTCTTAAAATGTGCCATACCACAATAAAATTTTCAACCAGATCCTACAGAGAACTAAGAAAGCAGATTATCTAAGAAGAGGTGTAAGTGTTTTGAGGTTTCAACATTTGAACATTATTATTAGCAAGCTTCTGTTCTGTTAAAATAAGTTTATCTGAGAGTGCTTGCAGATATTTAAGTGGTGGTTTGTTTTGTTTTCTTTTCTTAATTTTTAAATATATGACCTACCCGAGTGTGTAACATTTTCCTAGGAAATAGTATATTCAGTTGTAGGTGTAGACCAGTTATTTTAAGGTCCACATAATTATTTTAAGATGATCATAACTAGATTCAACAAAAATTAATATAAGAAAATAAACATATGAAGTCCTAAGGAAAAAATGCTCTCTTTTTTAAATTGAGGAATACACTCCACAGAGAAATAACAGATATTTGTAGTGAGAAGCAGATCTGGGAGAAACATACTTTGGGATTTTATTCTTTATTCCAGTTTGGTGTAAGATAGAAAGCTTCCATTTCTGACTAAACATTCCAAATAATAACTCAAATTTACTTTTATATCTTACATGTTGTTATGTGCCATCGAGTCAGACCCGACTCATAGTGACCCCTCTTTGGGTTTACGAGGTGGTATCACGACGGAAGTAGAGTGCCCAACCTTCCTTCTGAGGAGTGGCTGGTGGGTTTGAACCACCAGCCTTCTGGTTAGCAGTCAAGTGCCTTAGGCACTACACTATCAGAGCTCCTATATCTTACATAGAACAAAATAATATATTAATAATACTGCTTTTAAGGGGATATTTTTTAAAGTTTGACATAGCCTAAAAAATATTGGTTCACAGTGGGCTCGGGACCATAGTCGCAGGGGACATCAAGCTCAATTGGCATAACATACTACACAAAACATTTTCCACCTCCTACTTTGGCAAGTAGTGACTGGGATCTTAAAAGCTTGCAAGCAGCCATCTAGATGTAATAATGGGTCTCTCCTCATCCAGAGCAAAGAAGAAAGAAGAAAACCAAAGATTCATGGAAACAATTAGTCCTAGTGACTGGTACACCATGCGATCCTCAGCCTATACAACTATGAGACCAGAAGAACTAGATGGTGCCTGGCTACCACTGCCAACCACTCAGAGGGGGAACTATGGAGGAGATCCTGGATAGAGAGGGAGAACAATGGAACAAAACTCAAAATCAAAAATCAAAATCATTTGGGAAAAAAAAGGGGTGGCCAGGTTTGCTGGTCTGATAGAGCCTGGTGGAACTACTAGCCCCTAGCTGCCTTTCAGGTCTGGAATTGAAACCACACCTGTGGCTTCCAGCCAAACAAAAGACAGGCATATGAGTTGAGCATTTACCTGAGGTAGATACATTCCTTGGAGAGATCAATCATGGGAGAAAGAAGGGCTGTTTATGCACTGGGAGACAGCTCAGGGGGCAGGAGTGCATAGAGGGATGGACACAGGGAAGAAGTGGGAGGGGAGCTGTTGCATTGTGGTAAATTGTAGCCAATGTCACGAGACAAAGTGTATGTGAACTGCTGTATGGAAAGTGAATTTGCACTGTAAATTTTTACCCAAATCACAATTAAAAAAAAAAAAAAAAATGGTTCAGTCACAAATGTTAGAATCCAATCTCCCTAGTGCCAGCACTGTAATTTTAAATGTTCCCTTTTAAAAAGCTTAATATCAAATACTTTACCCCTGCTTCTTCCCACATACACTCCCCACTAAAAGTCTGAGCCCCTAGATTAAAAGAGATCCAAAGATGTAATGACCAAATGCAATATGTGGACCTTGTTTAGATCTTTATTTGAACAAATCAAACATAAAAAAAGATACTTTCAAATAATAGGGGAAATTTTATATATGTACTAGATATTAGATGACACCAAGCAATTATTTACAGAGTATGCCAATGGCAATTGTGGACATGTAAGAAAGTGTCCATAGGTCTTAGATATGTATACTGAAGTACAGAGAAGTAAAAATAACAGATCTGATATTTACTACATAATACTTTAGTAAAACCACAATAAAAAAGAGCAGATGAAATAAGTGGGCAAAATTTTGATAACTGTTGAATTTGAGTGATGGTTACAGGCAGTTCGTAATTCTCTCTACTTTTAAATACATGTATGTTTGAAAGTTTTCAAAATAAAAATAATCTTCCCTCACTTTCATAGTTTTAAGAACTGATGTGACTTCCCAATCACTGGATTTTACACCTCTTTAAAATGAAAATAAATGTAATTCAAGGAATAATTTCTCTAATTTATCACTATCACTGGCAGTTGGTATCGTTGCTAAATCCGACCCTCAAATCCATTCCTCAGAGCAGTTTTTTAAGTGCTTATGGTATTGACTCATTGCCTTCTTTTCCTAATTCATTCCAGAATGGATGAGTCAGGGAAAAGAAAAAAAGAGAGAAAGAATTAAAACAAAAGCTATTTTCAACAATTTAACCACAAAGTAAGAAGTAGGAGTTATTGTTGTTGTTGTTGTTGTTGTTTGCCGTCGAGTCGGCCCCGACTCATAGCGACCCCTCCTTGGGTTTCCAAGGCAGTATCACTACGGAAGTAGGATTGCCCAACCTTCCTTCCGAGGAGTGGCTGGTGGGTTTGAACCGCCAGCCTTCTGGTGAGCAGTCAAGTGCCTTTGCCACTATGCTACCAGAGCTCCCAGTAGGAGTTATAGAGGTGAGGAAAGAGAAAACTACTTGCTCTGAGATTACCTGTGGACTTCATTTACTTGTATTTTCTCCTTCATCACTGGGCTGTGGGCAATTTAAAACTGGCTTATAGATGCTATAGTCTAAGGTCAAGTCTTCTGTAGAAATTTACTATGGAAGGAAAACTCAGGGGGAAAAGGAACTATAGTGGGTGGGAGATATTTTCCTATGAAATATATTGATACAACAAACAATAGTTCAGTAGTGCCTTGACAGTCAGTGAACCTACACAGTCAGTTCTGGCCATACAGAGGTTCTAGCAAAGCCAATCAATGCGAGAAGGCAGGCCCATCTGAGATCACTCTTCCACATGCATCACTGGCTCTTAACTGTGAACCAAATCTTTATCAAACTCCTCTTCCAGCATCAAAAGTAACTTGTGATCTGGCCCCAACTAACCTACTTAAATTTAGCCTAACTCTTTCAAATTCCCACACAGCCCTCTGTTCTAGTAAGGTTGTTCTCTTTTCTGGTTCTCATACTCTCTCATACACACAATAACCCACTGTGATCAAACTGATTTCAACTCATAGTGACCCTCATTGGGTTTCCAAGACAGTAAATTTTTAAGGAAGTATACTGCCCCATCTTCATCCTGCAGAGCAGCTGGTGGGTTTGAACCATGAACCTCCTGGTTAGCAGTCAAATGCCTTAGACACAGTACGACCAGAGCTCTTATGCACACAATAACTTCTCACATATATACATTCTCAACTAAGTACAAGTAGTCCCCTGACGTAAGACATACTCGAGTTATGACAAACCATACTCATGATCATCTATTTTATTTTTGTACATCTTAACCTTAGTACATCTTCCAGGGAGGAAATTATAGGAAAATGCATGCAGGAGATATGAAATAAATTGCTGAGTTATTGTGAACACACTCCAAGCATTTGATCAAGAGAATATGATGAAAGCACTTGACGGAAAAATCCTCTAGATGGCAAGAACACTGAATTTAGAACATATCACCAATGTGGAATAACTCATAGACTATGAAGAAGAGGAGTTGGTAGATCAGGACTTAATGGATTTTGAAGAGGAAAGAAATGCTGAAAAAGAAATAATGAGGAAGATGAAGGAGAGAAGTTGTGAAAATTTTTTACAGTGAAAGGATTAGCTGGAGTTTTCCTAAACTAAACCCTTCAGTTGCTTGAAAACATGGATCCAAATGCTAATCGCTTTGCTAAGGTCAAGAGGCAGAATCAGGAAGCAATGAGATGTTATGGTGAAAAATGTAGGGGGAAAAAAAGGACTATATAGATAATTCTAATAATCCAGATGATCCAGAACCTTTCACAAGTGTAGTTATTACTGCAACTGACAAAATACCAACATCACCTAACTCTTCATCATCAGAATAATTTTTTATGATTTGTGTATTTCTTTATGTATACAGGTATGCATTAAAATATACTTGTAAGTTTATAGGGAGCTCTGGTAGCACAGTGCCTAAGGCATTTGACTGCTAACCAGAAGGTTGGCGGTTCATCTATTTCAACAGAGATACCGCCTCGGAAACCCAAGAAGGGGTCGCTATGAGTCAGATCTGATTCGACGGCAGTGAGTTTGTTTTTTTGGTAAGTTTATATGTAACGCTTCTAAGCCCCAAGGACAATGACTAGATTATAAAGACATTGATTAAAAAAAAAAGGCAATAATAATAATAACCAGGAGCTCTGGTAGCATAGTGGCTAAGGCACTTGACTGCTAACCAGAAGGCTGGCGGTTCAAACCCACCAGCCACTCCTCGGAAGGAAGATGGGGCAATCTACTTCCATAGTTATACTGCCTTGGAAACGCAAGGAGGGGTCACTATGAGTTGGGTCCGACT